GCCCTGATCAAATTATATTCCTGGCCGGCCCTGATCAAATTATATTCCTGGCCGGCCCTGATCAAATTATATTCCTGGCCGGCCCTGATCAAATTATATTCCTGGCCGGCCCTGATCAAATTATATTCCTGGCCGGCCCTGATCAAATTATATTCCTGGCCGGCCCTGATCAAATTGCTCCTCTTAACCCCTGACTGGGTTCGATTGCCTTGCAATAAACCGAATCTACAATAATCTACAATCAATTTAATTGATTAGGTATCAATGTTTAAAATTTTTCAGTTAAATGTCACCCTATTTTTCTGTTTATATTTGCGCACTTGCAAAAATAATAAATTTCTACATTTTTCCCGTGTACAATTTTAAAATTCCCATTAAAAACGAAATTAAATTCTTTTTAACTAACTTTAGACTGTTAAAAATGTAGAAAAATTGTATTTCAAAGTTTAAGATTTCATTGGATTAAATCTGTCCAGAGCTGAACACTTTAGAATAATGGATATCGAGATTGAGGCTTGATTCTCTCTTTTTCTTAATCTCGAGACTAACCTTTATACTTGTATCCTGAAAAGTGTATAAAATTCAACCAATCAGCGTCGCATACATCGCTCCCACCACACGTTGGTCAAATGCATGTTCTTTAAATAAAGCTTTCAAGTTTGCTACTTTTTGTCATATATGCTAATATGCTAAAACCTTCTCAGTTACAAAAAATAAATTGGTTAATCTATACAATTGAAGCAAATTGTCAAACTTGTTTATAGAACGCCATTTCAACTTTTATCTTTAGTTAACCTTATTTTTCCTTCTAACTTTACTTTAAAGTTTGCACCTTTGGGACTCTTAGCTAAGTAAATAAGTACATGTTATATCTTTCTTTAGGGTTAACAGAATTAATTAATTAATTTCTTATTTTTACGCTTACTTTTATTATGAAGTAATAAAAAATATGAAAAAAAAAGAATAATATTTATTTTCTATTTTTGGATTAACAACATACATGATTATATTTTTAACTACAGGGTGTCCCACGAAACATGACAGTTGATAAATAGTTATGAATGTCGTCTTCTACACGCTGTATTAGATATTAAAGGTTTTTGTAGTTTATTTCGTAAAAAAAATCTTTTGGTTAAATATATTTTACTTTGAAATCAATTTTTCTAAAACATGACTCCCATATTATAATTTATTTTTGGCTTTGGTATCAAACAACTTAACAAATTATGGAAGAAGACATTCTAAACTATTCACCAATTGTCTTGTTTCGTAAATACAGGGTGTCCCACATAACATGTCAGTAGAAAAACGATTTTAAAGTCGTCTTTAATATTTGAATTTATTTGAGACATTCAGTAGTCAACCTTCTTTCACATGTATGAATTTTGAAAATAATCCCAAAATAATCCTAGTCCTGGGATTTCCAAATGTGGTCTGCTTTTTTTGTGCTTTCAATATTTCAATTTCAATTTTAATTTTATTAATTAAACCAAAATTGTCGAAATCTGAATATTATATCTCCGGTAATATTTAGAGCACAAAAAAGGCAGACTACATTTTGTACATATGTTGTAATTATTACCTCAAGAATTTTACTTCTAAAATTTGCTTTACGAATAAATGTTGTAAATTATTTCAAAAATCAAAGACAACCTTCAAGTCGCCATGTTTTCTGGGACACCCTGTAACTGAATACATATCATAGATTAATAAAAATACAGATAGAACACTAGATGTCTTATTTTCAAGATTTAGGGATTTTTCGTTCATATTAACCATTAGGCAGATGCCCAACGTTGCCTGCGCGGAACTCCTTTGGGCTTCTGTCTCAGGGTTTCTGTAAACGACAAACCTTTAAATCCTCAAAAGACGACATCTAGTGTTCTATCTGTATTGTTATTAATCCATGATATCTTTCAGCGATTCCTGATTTCTTCAGTCTGTCTGCACTTCAAACACAATTTCCTACGAGCAAATCAAAAATATATCATGTGTCGTCAAATTAAAATAAATTTTACGTTAGAAGACTAAAACTTATCAAGAAAAAACACACAAACCGTGTTTAAAGGGACTGTAAAGGAATCATTAAAGGGGATATAGGCTGAAACCTGAGAATCTCAGGAGTTGATCGAGACTTATAAGACATCTATCTGATGTTCATGTCTCGAGAAATTGACATGAAACTGTGTCAAATTTATACCAAAACGTATACATGTAAGATATACGTCCGTTTAACGTGACCAAAACTCCCTCCAATATCAATGCAGTATACTGGTCACGTGATACAGACGGAGACATGTGACAATAATATTGTACTGCCATCAATGATATCTATTAAAAATTATTAAATTCAAATAATAATAGGAGCAAACCTGAGTTTCTCAGGCTCCTCTGGGATATTGTTAATTTCCTATTGGTTGCATATTGGTTGGAAATGATCTGTTTAATTCTACGAATCATATACAAAATCTTACATATATTCGTTTTGGTATAATTTTGACACAGTTTTATCTCAATTTCTCGAGACAGGAACATCAGATAGAACTCTGTTTGTTTGTCTTTCTGTTTGTTTGTATCCAATTAACATCAAAACGGCTGAACCGATCAGGCCCAAACTTTTGTGGGACCTCACATGACCTCCTTCCATGCAATGAAGGCAAAACTTTTATCTGATCAATAGAATAAATTGTCTTTTTTATGTTAAAAGTCAGTTTCATATAAAAATTTCATCGTTATTATAAACAACCTAACTTTTCTGGTCCCAGTTTTTACTGTATCGCCCGGACATTGGGTAAATAAAGCAGACACTCATTAGGACTAGCCGTTGCAACAAAGTTGACGCGGTCAGACTTGAGGTTGAAATTACTTTAACTAAAGGGTCTGAGGTGCGTGCAGTTAATAAAAAAAAGTTTAAACCTGCATATAGATGACACTTCCGGCTGGTGATATCTTAAACAAAAATTCAAATGTTTCTTAAAATTTCTGAATTCTTAACAAATAAAATCAGTTCGGGTGGTTTTATTAAAAAAAAACTTTAGGGACTGTATACAAAATTACATAAAACTATAATTTTAAAGTGTAGTACAGAAGACAGATTTCTGTTTTAGCAACAAACCATGATTTTCCAATCCCTAAAACTTTCCAACCAAGTTTTGAAGTCTTTTTACATTTCAAATTGTGAATTCTGTCAGATCAAATCAGTTAAGTTTAAAATACCAAAGATTTACACCATCTTGTTGCACAAATTTAGGGATTGGAAAATTTGAGTTTGTTTCAAAAACGTTTCTATTAACAACAATGACAATTTCAGGCTCAATGGTGGACACCCCATTCATATAAATATAGTGGTTACTTTAATTTTTTTTAATGAATTCCTAATATGATAAAAGTTTATTCTTATCTTTAAGAAACATATTTTAATATAATTTTCCGAGAGAGATGACAAAATTTAACTTTAAATCAAATATTGTAGGTATTTCCTGTTATTTGCAGTATCTAATATATAGAAGTAGAAATATATATGTTTGTCTGTTTGTTTGTTTGTCATATGTATGAACCCCTAGACCAATTTGCCTTAAATATTTAGTAAAATAAAGACATACACATGGAGGATAAGATGGTTATTAGAAGTATAATTGAAGATGGTAAAAATTGTGATCATTCTAGAATTTTACTCGTTCTTCAAGAATAATTCTCTAAAATGAAAAAGTATGAAATCTGTTGATTTTGTTAATAGATTCTGGGAAACGTTTCCCGAATATTTTACATCAGTTGTTTCCCAGGCTCAACAAATATTGCAGTCAGGAAACATATAAAGATAAAAGTATTTATTTTTTGTGCCTTAAAAGGCCATCAAAGTTTTAAACAAAAAAGTCGGATAAGTTTGAGATCCACATTTTCAATGTTTTTATTTTTATGATTTACAATTTTAAATGTTGAAAAAAAAATTCAATTTTGGAACAGAATTTGAAATTCGATTATCCAGAAAAAATGTCACTTTTTCAAATTTTTGGTTATTTGTTAATAAAACAAAAATATTTTTCAGTTCTATTTTGTTAAAAGAAAAATAGAATCAAGAACTAAGGAATAACATTTTACTGGGAATAGAGGCGGAGCGAAACGCCCAAAAATCAAATGCAAGCACTCCCTAGCCTATCTACTCTTCTTAATTTCTTTAAAGGGAGTTACCGGCTATAGACAATGATGTTTATTAAATAGTTTTTAAAAATAAATTTTCCAACCCTCCAGAATTGACAATCCATGGGAGAATTTTAAAGATTGAATTAGCGCTCTCACTGAACAATTTGAAATCGTAAAAACAACTCATAGTTCTCAAATGAATCCTGATACATTTCTTTACAATGCTGTACTCTCAGCTCAACGAGCATGTGAAGCCGGTTACTCCCATTAATAATTCCTAGTACCTGACCCATTATCCAGTTATGAGGACAATTATCCTCCAGAGTGCTTGAATAATTGAATATTATGTAGGCGTGTCTGGATTTTCTGAACAATAATCTTACCCACTATTGATTAGATCACTCCTGTCCATTAGCGCCTGATCCAATCAGGGTTCAGTTATGTGTTTGTTGTCTATTCTGAACCAATAGAAATAGTATGGCGGTATCGTCTATCTTTCTATCTATTTCATTATCCAATTAGAGATATGAATCCTTCAATCGGCGCTATCAGTAAATGGAAATATTTACTTCTACTGAAACTATAGTGAGCTAGATAAGGGTTAAGTTAAGAGGTATGTAAATGGAAAATAAGGCATTTCTCTTTTGAATTTGCATTGTCAGTCTCTGTAATATTACTTTTGCCGAATTGCAATATTATTAACAATTCGGCCTCAATCTTTTTTCAAGGCAAAGGATGTTTAGACATATTAACGTAATGTTGTATCATCAATAGTTTCAGTAGAAGTAAATATTTCCATTTACTGATAGAGACGAGTAAAGGATTCATAACTCTAATTGGTTAATGAGATAGACAGAAAGATAGATGTCACCACCATACAATTTGTATTGGTTCAAAATAGACAACAAACACATGACTGAACCCTGATTAGATCAGGCGCTATTGGAATCGGCAAACAAGTGTGCATGTATTGGCTTTTCTTTAGGGTCATGTAAAAATATATATCTTAAAGGGATTTTAGGGATATAGAAAAATATATAACTTAAAGAGACTTTAAACGTAAATTCAAGTGAATCTCCATGAAAAGAAGGCAATGATCCATTTGCAACGATACGCTTTAAGCCTTGTTTGTTCGCCGAGAAATGTGTTTGTAAACTAATCGAAAGCCGATTGTATGCCGCTTAAAATTCCTGTATGCACTGCCTTAAGTTCAGACTGCACTATGCGCACACTGTGCGCAACTGAATACGATGCAAGCGGGTTTCAATAAGCTTACACAAACACAATCTCTGTGCTCGGCAAGCACACAAAAGGTTTTAAGGATACCGTTGTAAATCCTATTTGCTCTCTTTGCACAGAAAGTCAATTGAAATTACGCTTACAGTCCCTTTTAATCCAACAAATTAACAAATTCAGAATACTCTAGAACCTTCTAAGAGAATTAAAAATTCTGACTCCGCGCCGGTTTAATATGTTTAACATGAAATAACCTGACAATACTTGGGAAAGCTGTGTCTCCACAACCAGCCAAAGTAAGAACCTGAACATGTTTTTTTAGGAAATCATTTATTTTTAAAAATACTTTTTTTCCCTTAACCTGTTCCAAAGATCCTGTTTCCGTATTCAGTTTCCAGATACCTGTTCCATGCTGCCTCAGTGAAAAACTAAAAAAAAATTGAAACTAATTTTTAAAGAAGAAAGATGTTGCATAAAATTTGGTTTTTTGATATTGTAACAAAGTAGAGATGTTGATAACATGTGATGTTACCAAAACAAAGTAAAGCTCGATTACATCAATTAGGTTCTTTTTCGTTATAAGAATAAAATGCAGGGTCACCCACACAAGAAGAGACTACAGAGGTGAAGCTGTACGGAAATATTTCAGACAAGCCATTTTAAAATGAAGGATCGTACTAGTCATAGCTGACTTTATGTTTGTTATTAAAAAAATTGTTATTCAACAAACTAAAGTGTTAAATTGAAGTCAAAAACGTTTAATCTTTTTAATACGTTTAATAAGCTGCTCCATTACAACCGTAATAAAATTTTTATTAATAATTAATCTTCGATCCTTAAGGGATTTAAAAATGTGAAAATATTAAAAGGTTTGTTTAGTTTGCTTGAAAATGCATAAATTTCATTTTAAACACTTAAATAACAGAAATGAATGCATTTTTAAACGAGAACTAAAATTCATGTTTCCATAATTATGTTCATGTGCCAATATATTCATGTGCAAATATATTCATTTGCAAAATTTTGCAGCAGTTGAACAAAGTAATTGAACCTTTGCCACAAACTAAAATTTTAGAATCCCTATATCTTTGCAACCTCGTGGTGAAAATCTTTGATTTTTCAAACTTAGAAAGATTATTTGATCTAACAAAATTCATTGTTTAACATATCTAGGGGTTACGACAATGTGTTGTAAAGATATAGGGATTAGAAAGTCAGAGTGGCAAAGATTCAATTCCTTTCACAGAGAAATCAGATACTATCAAACCAAGCACAGATTAAAAAATTATCATGTGTAAAAAATAAAATAAAAAAATTCCCTTGTGGAAGAGAGTTTCGACTGCTTCAAAAAAAAAACTTGATGGAACTCAGAGGAAATATATTTCGATATTTTACATATCCTTCTCAATTCTTGAGGTCTAGTGTTTTTGTCTTTTATGGCGAGTCATCAAAATCACATTTAACATGAATTCAATGATTAAAAGCATTAATTATAAATGAAGCTCTTAATGAAATGGTTAAATAAATATATCTACATTTATAAAGTAATAATCTCTGTTTGTCCGATCATAACTCGTAATCACTTGCTTGGACCGATTTTGATTGAGAAACTTAGTAGAATTACGGAAATGTTCTTAGCCTGGTTTAAAAATTGAGTAGTTTGACTTTAATAGAGAATGTTTATTTTGTTGGCAAAGCTGGGTTCCCAATGCAAGTTAAGTATAAAAAAGTAATCTCTGTTTGTTTGCTTATATGTCCGATCATAACTTAACCGATTTGCCTCAAATTTTGATTGGATAACTCGCTGTAGAACAGCGGAAATGTTCTTAGCTTGATTTTAATTCTAAATTGAGTGGTTTGACTTTAAAGAGAAAGTTTGGGTGGATGGCAAAGCTGGGTTCCCAGCTAGGTATATATAAAGTAGTAATCTCTGTTTGTTGCTTTGTATGTCCGATCATAACTCAGGAACCCCTTGACCATTTTGTCTAAATTTTGTATTTGTAAATTCAGTAGAAACACGGGAATGTTCTTGGTTTAAAAGGTCCAAGTTGAGTTGAATAGGTTGACTCTAGAGCTAGTATTATATATTGCAGCTGTCTGGACAAATCATTATTTATTATTATTTAATAAGGAATTGGAATTTTGCCACAAACTATAATTTTTTAGTCCATATATCATCTTTGCAACCTGATATCGTAGATCATTAATATTTTAAACTATAAATTCTGGTAGATCAAATTGTCTAAGATTAAAATATCAAAGATTTACATTATGAGGTTTAAAAGATGAAGGAATTGAAAACCGAAGTTTCTTTTAGACTCATAAATTAATTATTAGACAAGATCATGTGACCGGGGTTATTTTTAGATATGTCAAAAAACATTCACCAGCAAAAGTCTTACCTTACATATCAAAAAAATGATTTAATGATTCAACCCATCCCATGCCGGTAATGTGTTTAACAGTGGATTGTCCCTGAAACCAAAAAAAGGGTCGATAATAAAAATAAGTATTTTTTTAAACTCTGACCTCGACCAAGATATATTATTTTAACCCTGAACTCGACCAAAATACATTTTTTAAACTCTCACCTCGACCAAAACACATTTTTTTAGCTCTGACCTCGACCAAAATATATTATTTTAAACTCTGACCTCGCCCAAAATATATTTTTTAAACTCTGACCTCGACCAAAACACATTTTTTTAACTGTGACCTCGACCAAAATATGTTTTTTTTAACTCTAACCTTGACCAAAATATATTTTTTAAAACTCTTACATCGACCAAAATACATTTTTTTAACTCTGACCTCGCCCAAAATATATTTTTTTAACTCTCACCTCGACAAAAATATATTATTTTAAACTCTGACCTCGCCCAAAATATATTTTTTAAACTCTGACCTCGACCAAAACACATTTTTTTTAACTCTGACCTCGACCAAAATATGTTTTTTAAACTCTAACCTCGACTGCAAAATATATATTTTAAACTCTGACCTTGACCAAAATATAATTTGTAAACTCTGACCTCGACCAAAATATGTTTGTTAAGCTCTGACCTCGACCAAAATACATTATGATTAGTAAACAAATAACTATTGAGTCTATTAAAATATTTAAACAACAAATTGTTAGTTAGTTTATTTACTGTCTTAATCTTTTATTTTGGTTGTTTCTAGTTCAATTATCAAGTTGTAATGTTATATATCGAACGTTCCAGAGACTGAACTATGTGAGAATAAAAGTTTGTGAATAAATGATGATACAAACAACTTTCATATATAGTGAGGCTTTTGAATTCTGCCAAAATTCAACACTAAGCTTGACCAAAATATAATTTTTAAACTTTGACCTCAACCAAATTTTTAAAACTCTGACCTCGACCAAAATAAGATTTTTAAACTCTGACCTCGACCAAATATAATTTTTAAACTCTGACCTCGACCAAATATATTTTTTAAACTTTGACCTCGACCAAAATATAATTTTTAAACTCTGACCTCGACCAAATATATTTTTTAAACTTTGACCTCGACCAAAATATAATTTTTAAACTCTGACCTCGACCAAAATAAAAATTTTAAACTCTGACCTCGACCAAAATATAATTTTTAAACTCTGACCTCGACCAAAATATAATTTTTAAACTCTGACCTCGACCAAAATTGACCATCAGGGTCTGTTCTTGCAACAAGGAAAAGATCACCACCATGACGAAACATCTAAAATATCTTGTTATTTTTCTTTTTAACATTTTTCGTTGAAAGAAAGAAAACATTGTTAATCGTTACTACTTTACCAACCAACGGCTTTTATTTAAACTTTTACACTTCTAAACAAAAAACCAAACGACAAAATTGACATTCCTATTTTTATTCTTTTTCTCTTCTCTAAAAAAGTGAAAAAATTTTGTGTGAATGGAACGAAAATTTCATTAGTCGAGACATATATAAATAAATGTAAAATTCTGTAAAAGTTCTGTCGTAATACAAAGAAAAAAATTATTTTAATCTGTCTTTAATGAATAAAAAAATATTAAAATCTTTAAATATTTTATTAAATTAAAGCTTTTTTATAATTTTTACCTTTGGTGATTCAAAAATATTGGGATTAGATAGTTGTTCAAGAAATATCCAGTTGCTCAGGTTTGATCTTGAAGCTGTGAATAATCTTGATCCCCAACCTTTAAAAGGACTGATAACGTAATCTATCTTTGAAATGTCATGTCTGATGCAGTACCTGTGTCTAATCTTCAATGCCGGAGAAGGCCTTATTTTTCTAACAAACAAATAAGTATTTAAGTGTAGACTATACAGTAAGCATTTTGTGCCATGCGAATGTCTCGAGAAAATATGATTGTCAATATCATAGATTAATTAAAAATATAGATAGAACACTACATGTCGTCTTTTCAAAATGTAGGTGATTTTCAATCACAATAACCCTAAGGCAGAAGCCCAAAAGGAGTTCCGCGCAGGCAGCGTTAAATCACAAGATAGAGAGAGTATATACGTAACTCCTTTGGGCCTATGCCTTAGAATTATTGTGAACACAGACGACATCTAGTGTTCAATCTGTATTGTTAATTAATCTATGATCAATACATTCAAGTCAACGCTAGTTTCTAAATTATCAAAGGAAATTTAATTTCTATAATTTCCGTGAACAACATCTTTTTAAATTTCAGCAGCTTGCGTAGAACGAAGAGTATTTCTGAGGATATCTCTGTCATTTTACACGTGTAAAGGAAATCCGTTGTTTAATGTACATGCCACGATACACATAGAGTTTATTTTAGATATGTTTTCCTTTTTGTTCACAAGACTGTTTTATAATGAGATATATCATTTCAAAAGTATCTTATTACTAAATATCATGAAAAAAATTCTTCTTGAAATAATTCTTTCTTCTTTTAAGAAACAATATATTTTGATTACAGAAAATGACCCGTCACAAACTCTAATTTTATGCTTATTTAAAGTTGAAAGTATTAAAAAGGGTGTGCAACATAAGGTTACAACGATAGTGGGTTTAGAAAACTATCGTTTGTTGCAAGTGTTCAGTTTCTTTGCTTTATAAAAAAAAAGGTAAGAGGGAGAAAAAAGTCAATAAAAATGTATGTGTGTGTGTAAATAAATAACTTTTTTGAAAAGAAAAAAGTTGTTGAAAAAGTTTGGGTTAAATTAACGAAAAACAACAAAAACATGTTTGAATTATTTTAGTTTCCGAATTTTATAAGGGAGTGTTCGCAAAAAATGAAAGGGGACCGATCCCGAATTAAATTCGTTATCGATTGCTAGTAATTTTACATCTATCATCAGTTTCGTCTACAACGAGAAAAGGGTTAATAACTACCCATACCAAAGAGCGTGGAAGCCAAGAAAATGCATGAAGATGTATTATTTTACCTGCAGAGATTAAAACTACTCATTCAGATATTATAAGTTATAAATGTCAAATTCAATTTGGAGCATTCCTTTGTAGTATAAATATTTCTTTCATTGAAGATGTATTTTTGATGACGATTATTTGCTCTCTATATTTCAGGGTTTTTACTTTAACTATTACCCGAATCGTCTCCATCTTCATTTCTTCCAACCCCCCAGAGATTACCCTCCAGATCAAACTGAAACCCAATCTCAGTTAATCCACCTTAAAGCATAGATAAATCTAGAAGGTACGATATGTATAGTTTCTAAACTTCTAAATTAGAAGGTGTGTTGGGAGGGGGTGAAATCGATGGGATTGTTATTTAAGAAGAGAACATAAAATAGTATAGCTAATTTCCCCTTTCCGCTCTGCCCCCTGAATAAGAGGCCACTTCAGATTCCTGAAAACTAATGTTTAAAGCATTTAAAGAGTTTGAACCGCCCAGAAAGACTAAAAATACACTAAAGTTTGTCGAAAAATCCTCTAAAGTTTGACGAAAAATCCTCTAAAACTTGACGAAAAATCCCCAAATTTCCAAAATCACTTTCTTTATCCTCAAAAATCCTTCAAAACTTTGTTGCTGTTCTAATAATTTAGTGCTGTGTGATACGTTCTCAAAGCCAATATTTCTCGAAATATAAGTTTTAAAACCAATTGCGAATATCACCTGTTGAAGAAAACAAACAGTTTCCCGAGATCCTCTGCATCTCCTTTAAATAATGTTGTTTTTTTGTTTTGTTTTTTAAAGTGGAAAAGCGTAGTTTTGTCATTATAAATAAAAACAGAACACAACAAGAAATGAGCATGCATATTAACTATATATAATATAATTATCCCCTCAAAATTTGTTTCTGAAAACAACATTTTCATCATCTATTAAAAAAAACAAAATAACATTCTTTTTTTAACTTAAAGTAAAATAAAATTGATATTTTTCCTAACCAGGAGTGCTATAGTCTCCACTGTAACTTTGACTGTACAAAGTTCCATTATGTTCAACAACCTCCCAGATAACCTCCCCCTCATGACCAAAAACCTAAAAAATAATATCTATCACTATAATAAAGCTCTTTGCTTAAATATATCATTATATATATGTTAGCTATATCTGGCCAAACGGTGAACCAAATTAGTTATTTTTTAAGAAACCCCATGATTACAAAGATAACATAAGCTATAAGATCTTTTTTTTCAAAGTGCTTTTAAACTTTCACGGGCAACGCCAGGCACTTCAGCTAGTATTTCTATGAGGACAAAAAGATATCACTGATTTCGTAATTTTATCTATTTTGGCTTGTATGTTTTGATGTTTGTTTGTTTTCTGCCCAATAAAAACGGCTGAACCGATCAGGCTTATTTGTGTTTTTTCGTAATTTACAGGACCCAGAAAATAAACATGTCTAAAGGCAGGGGGGTGTCCCCCATCCTGTAAAACTGGTTGTACGTAGTAATCTCTGTTTATTTGTTGTATGTATGATTATTACTTAAAAACCCCTTGACCGATCTGCCACAAATTTTGATTAGGGAACTCGGTAGAACCACAGAAATGGTCTTATCCTTGTTTTAAAATTTAGATTGAGTGGGTCGACTTTTATAAAAAAAATCTTCAAACAAAGTTTTTGCCGAAAATGAAATTGATTTTACTTGACATTTTAAATTCGTACCACAGGTTCAGTCCATAAACCATTCTCTAATCTCAACATTTGATACAAGGCCTTCGGTTCAAAATCTAAAGGATTGCTGCCTCCCTAAAAATAAAATATATGAAAAGTATTATTTAACTGAAATAGTTTAAAGGAAGTTTTCAAGGAATACTCTTATAAAAAACGAACGCTCTTTCATAGTTTAAACCTTTATTTTTAGACGATGTCGTTGTTTTTGAAAATATTTTCAGTAAATTTATTTTATTGTCTGTGCTGCATATATTCTAATGAGTAAAGTTAATAGCAAAACCCATGATAAAGAATTTCTTTTTTAGAGATTCAAATCTATATTACTGGATATAGGCCTCGGGGTAGGTTGTGGCTTTAAATCGAGCATTTACCTTTATAAATGAAATTGAATTGACAGTTCTTTCTTTCTTTAAAAAAAGGGATATAATTCAGCTTTTGTGGTTTAAACATTAACTTTTGCTGCAGTTGGTTTAACTTCAAGATCAAATTTGATTATTTTTTCATGAAAATTTATTTTAATCATAATTCTTCGAAATTTACGAAAACCTATTTTGAATTCGACTTTGTTTATTCAAATATTAATCGTTCTTCAAATAAAATACTATAGATTATTTAAAATTTTCTTTTTCTTAAATTTTGTAGTTTGTTCTCTAAAGTTTGCTCATTAAAAAAACTGTCTAGGCTCCAGCTGGTTTAACATTTTAGATCAGTTTTACAGATATTAGCTTATTGATTGATTACCGAAAAACATTTTCGTTTTAATTTGATTAAACATATTTTTGTTTTAAATGGACGTGTAAAATTTTTTACAATTTCCCTCATTAGCATCAATCTGCGAGGCAAAAAAAAATCACAATAGAAAATGGTCAATTTTACGAGAGAAAAAGAAGGATATATAATTTTCCGTAATAGCACAAATGTTTAAAGGGTATGGTTGTGTATCGAATATACTATTCTATAAACTAAAAGTCTATTCTAAGATTCCAATTTACCTGGAAAAAGTAAAATAAAAGATTGCCCTCGGCCTCAACAAAAAATGGTTCTCTGAAATTAGTTTTATACAGACAGAGAGAAACATTTATTCAATCTACATTGTTATATATTCAACATTTTCATTTATAAGTAGAACAAAATTAAATAAATGCAAAAAATTAAATGAAAAAAGAAAATGAGAAATGTAGGCAAATGTTTTAGCATCTTAAAACTTAATTGATCGATGTGTTTAATTGAAAGTTTAAACTTCCGGCCAGAGGTGTATTCAAGAATTCTCCGGTCCCAGTTTGTACCGTATCGCCCGGACATTGGGTAAATAAAGCACTCAATAGGACTATCCGGTGCAACAAGGTTGACGCGGTCAGACTTTAGGTTGAATTTACTTTTACTGAAGGGTCAGAGGTGCGTTATTGTAATATTGTCACGAATAATATATTTTGTTTTCTTTAATAATTGAATCAATTCACCTGAGATCAGAGCCAAGGAAAATAGTTTGTTCATATTCCCAGGTAGATCCATTATTACCTGTACAACAAATCTGCAGTACTGCAGTTGAGTGTTGACAGTCAACCCACACCGGAATGTATTTTCAAAATATGTGGAACTAACCAAGGAACTATCTCCCAAAGAAATTGAGTTTTTGCCAAAATTTCTGATTCTGATACTATGAATTCTGTTTGATCAAATAGTCGTAAATTGAAATATGAAAGGTTTAAACCATCGGATTGCAAAGATATATTGATAAGAATATTTGAATTTGAGGCTAAAACTCAATTTCTTAAAATATTTCTAAAGCATTCTTCCGTCGTGTTTTTTGACCATGTGTAAATGGTAATGGTGTATAACTCAAGATGAGAACATCTTTGCAACCTAATGTCGTAAAAAAAGACAACAAAAAATATCAAACTTGTGAATAATTAGGTTGAAACAATATAAGAAATAAAAAATTTGTTTTTGACGCAAGTGATCACTGATCAGTTCTTTGGTTGAATAAATATTTTATTTATTTTTTAATTTTAATTTCAACGATTATTATGCATTTATAAGATATTGCTGAATAAATATAATTGTGTAGACCTGAGGAAACAATATGAAGTCTGGTTTCAACAGAAGCAAAATGTACAGGAGCAGTTCGCCATCCAACATATAACCGTCCTTAGATAGAAATATATCCAACATATAACCGTTTTTAGATAAAAATATTACCAACATATAACCGTTCTTAGATAGAAATATATCCAACATATAACCGTTCTTAGATAGAAAATATAGAGGGAAACATCAAAAAGGAACTAAGTTTTTGACACACTTGCTCTTTAGATGCTTTAATCCCTTGTATCTTTAAAACCCGAGGACATTGAGCTTTGATTTGTAAAAATATGATTTTGGTAGACCACTTAGAAACTTAGAAATATGAAAAGGCTCACACCATCAGGTTGCAAAGATAGGGATGGGATTAAAAACTTGAGTTTGTGGCAAAGACTCAATTCCTTTGAGCTGTTATTGTGATATCAATTTACCTGCCTAGATAAAACTAAAACAAAGTTAATGTTTATTTTGAAGGGAGTGTTCGCGAAAGGGGTTTATATCGATTCTATAATTTTGAATTAATCCTATGTCAACCTTTTCGCGTCCACCCCGTTTTGATTCTCTATTCTCTATTGGAACACTGTTGAAAAATATCGTTATTTTTATACCTCTGAACAATTTAGCTGCAACGTTATTGTTACTCTCCATATTTACTGCCTCAACAGCCAATGTCTTATTCCTTAAAAAAAGTTTAAAAGTCAATTAAATGAGTATAAAATTCAATTTAAAGAAAAAATTTTAAAAATTATTTTTTGTGGTCTGGGGAAGGTTTGTACAGAGGTACCCAAAGCTCTCTTTTCGTTTTTTTATGCATATTTTATTTTTAGATTGCTCTAGCTCCAAAAGTAATAATCGCTGATCCAAAATTACAGTTAAAAATGAAACCTAAGATTAACTTATGATTTAAAAGGAAATTTGGAAAATCTTTAAATTTTTCCATTCTTTATGAAGGAATGAAAATGAGACGTGAAAAGTCAAAAAATTGGAAAATCAAGATAAAATCAAAAAGTATGAGGCCTAGAAGGAAACATTTTACATCATTAAATAACTGAAATATAGAGCTTTCGAATGACACCTAGATCGTAAAAATTTAACGAAAATTGTTTCCTCAGTTACTAATACCACTACTGCACAGTTTTTTTGAGACACCCTGTATATAAACTAGACTATAATAGTCTTACTTGGAGAAAAATTACTTTGTTTAAAATAAGTTTTTTTTGCTTGAAAACTCATATTATTTGTAAAATATTATTGGTTGATAAAAACAAATTAAATCTTACTTGGATATGAGCAGCACTGGGTCCTCATGCAAGCTAGAGACACCAATATTTAAATCAATAAATGTGTAAAAAATACATAAAGTATTCTTGTTCTTCAAAGATGTGTAGGCAGAGCAGTAGGTATTAGATTTTTAAAATTTGGTATAAAACCAGAATGATGTGATCATGTGATTGAACAAAATGCCCCCCTATCTTTTTTGAAGTCAAGTGAAAAATATTCCATACTTTTAAATTGAGAAATGGTTAAAAAAAAGATTCGAAGTGAACTGGTTTTCCTGATTTGATATTGAAGACCAGAATCTTGAATTTCTTTGTCCCAATCATAAAAATCCTCTCCTATGACAGATCCTAAATGCAAAAGATATTATCACATAATTTTTGGTTCTAATTTATAGGAAACCGAAAGAAAAGAATTTATCTTAAAGATAATAAATGTGAAAACTTACTAACAGGACTGGACCGTTCGAAAAAATTTTGCAATCTGCATTCTTTCTGTAGTTTCCGAAATGAAAACTTACAAATTCGATAACCTAGAATTTGTCTAAATAGAGGGTTAGTTTGGTATGGCTGTAAGAGGTCATGTAATCAGTACAGAATGAGGGCTCGGGGAGTTGATTTGTTTTGAATCTTCATGACAGAGACAAATCTCAAGAACTGAAGAGGGTCAACCCAGACCGAAATATATTTTCAAAAAATGTGGAACTATCACCAATTTTTTTTTTACTCTGAACCACATTTTTTATAATAATTGGTAAAAAACAATATGAACAGAAAATAAGTCTGTACCTGCAACAAAGAATAAAAACTGCAAAATGAAATTCATTTTGTTTGCCAAAAATCACTAATTTCAAATATAAAATCCTTCAGAGAACATTAATTTTTTACAATTAAACTTTGATGTTTGATCAAAACTAAAGTAAACTTTTGATAACATTAATTGTTCTTATCTTAAACGCGTGCTGGGAGCTTTCAATTAAGATAGAGCTTAAGTATTAATGATGATTAATCGCTAACGATAGTTTATTGCTAACGTTGTGTATCAAGAAATTTAAGCTCCCCCACAAGTTTTTAGGAATTTAATCTCTACAGTCCAAATTTACTGCCTGTATAAACCTGCATGTAAGACGACATTGAATAAAATTGCATATAGGACCACATTCCTTTATAAATGGTCTTTATAAATGTAGAAAAACTCATACTTATCAATGTCAATTTTTCCCCCAAAAATAATAGATTTTTTTAAAAACAATTGTATAAAAAACTGTCGCTTTTCGTTTTTATTAAAACGATGGTTTCAAAAACAATCGTTTTTTATTTTCTAAAAGTTCAAAACAAGTAAAAAATGATTTTTATGAAAACGATCATAAAGCAAAACGAAAAACTATAGTTATTAACAACCCTAGTTGTGTGATCTTTAATGATGTCTTATTTTATAGTTCAAAGGTTGATAGGGTTGAATGAAGGTGCAAGATGTATAGAAGGTGCATAGTAAAACAGATTGGCATCGTTTCCGTTAACGAACAAAATATTTCTAAATCGTTCACAAATGATTTAAAAATTGTCTTTCTCCTTACAACAATTAGTTAACCCAGAGAAAGGTTTGAAGGATGTTGTTGTGAATCAGGAATACGAATCTGTACATAGACAGATATAGATTATATAGTTAATAGCCCGGTTTCTTTATCGAGCTAATAAAAACTTAGATAGATAGATAGAGAGAAAAGATGAAGAAAAAAAGAGAATAACAAAATTAATCTATAAAAGGAAATATCTGATAAAAAGGTTTATTTTTGTTTTAAAAAATCTTTTTTATTTTAGTATTCAAAATAAAAATAAATATTCTTAAGAAAATTTTGATTTTTTATTTTAAAAAGTATTATTAAGTAAACATTTTTTTTTTAATTTATTGGTTAAAAAATTAAAAAATATCTTTTTTGAAAAATATTATTTATAGGTATTTTTAAAAATCTTAGAAATATTTTCATTTTCTGAACTATGCATCTTGGCATATTATTTCTGGTCTCTATTTTCATGTTTTGCAATTTTAGTAGTTTTAATGTCTGCTTATTCGTACCCAAAATCATGGTAAATGCCTAAAAATGGCGAATAGTTTGTTCCCATTTGTTGTGATTTAGCTGTGAAGTCGAAGCTAAATCCAACCTCAGGTGTGATTTCCATCAGCTGATATTTTTAGCTATGATTTAACTCCGACTTCAGATCTAACCTAAGCTTCGATCTTGCTCTGATATTGGACTAACGAATATAAAATCATAGCTAAGCTAGGAAGTCGCAGCTAAATCATAGCTTGAACCGGACAAAGAAACCGGGTTTATATAATTAAAATTATAGGTAGGGCACAATTTTTACAGTTAAATTTAGCCAGGACCTCTCTAACCATTGCTGGTTGTTTTGAATAAAAGGCCCTTTTTCAGTGACAAATAAATATTAAATTGAAATAAAACCAAAGTAAACAACATTAATTTAAAACTACAGTGGTAGGAGATTGTGGAAGACGACTATCGGCCTCCTTAGACGATCTCCAGAACAATTGGACTTTTCTAGAATGATCTCGAGAGCTATGTGATAGATATATATAAAAACTGATTGAAGATTTATCATTGTTGTTAAAAGTTAGACCTAAATATATGATGGTAAAATTTATTCGTGCTTTAATAGAGTCCGTCCTCCTGACCTCTATAAGATTATGTTAATGCAATAAAGACGATTTTTGATTTAATTTTGATTTATTTCAAGCTTTTAAACAGCAAGAATACACATAAACATAGAAGTCGAGAGAAGCTGTACATTTTAAAAACCTTTTGATTACTTGTACACTTGTTATTTTAAATAAGCTTGTTAAAAACAAAAGCTTAGATAAAAAGTTGTCTTTATTGTATTGATATAATCGCCTACCAACGTATATAGATAGTTTCATGTACAGTTCTTTTAACCATTAAATTAAAAGCAAAATAAAGTAAAGTCTTTGATAAACTAAAAGGTTTCTAGTTGGATCAAATATTTATCTATCTTTAAATAATAAATGCCTTTTCTCACAACATTTTAAAACTTCTATTTCTAAACTTTGACAGAGGAAATAATTTTACAAAGGAATTGATAATTTTCAACATATCAATGTTTGTTTTAGAAATAAGTTTTAAACTGAAAATAAGATTTTTTATCTCGGAATAGTTGATGGCCTATATAATTAGTAGAGGATTAGCGTAAATCGTCAATCTATACTCTCGTTGGGTAGTACGTGTTTAGCACATGTTTCCTCTAAACTAGGTGGACACATTTATATTTAGCTCTACTTCTTTCAATTCTATTTCTTCCATTATCAATTCTTCTTTCTTATTCTCTTCTATTCTTTCTAAAATTAAACTAGTTACGAAACAAGATGATTTTAATCAAAACCTCAAAAATTTAATGATTTAATGATTGATAAAAAAATTTAAGTAATTAATTTTAAAGTTAAAGAGCATGTCTGTGAACAGTGAACACCAGTTACTATTTATGCAGAAAGGAATTTGATTTCCTAGAGAACTAAAATTATGAAATATCTTAAAATTGGCTTAAAGTTAAAACTAAAATAAAATAATTATTTCTGAAATGCTAAAAAAAACTTTAAACCTTGGGTTGATCTAGGATTTAGACTTCTTTAATATTCTTATTTATATAAACCGCGCGAGTGTGAAGTCTCCCTGCACTCAATCTTCAGCTATACTAATGAGGATATCTACATCATCGTTGTTCGGACAAAGGTACCGATGTACATAAGACATGTCTCACTATTAATAAAAGGTCACTTGAAAATTCACAAACAGTCCCTTTACACCAATTTTTGCGTGTATTATTGACCCATCAACTCCTGGTTCTTAAATAAAGTGAAAGGTAAAAGTGGAAATGTTCTTAAGATACCGAGTTCCCGATCTTCTCCTATTTATTATTCTTAATGCTAACTTTCAGTATGTCTTTTCACACTATAGATTGTTGTGGCAGTATTTGTGAAGTGTTTACTGAGATAGTTTACTTCTTATAATATATCTTCAGATAATTTACTGTAGAGGACTCTATGGAACTCTCTTTATAGTAAACTCGAATGTGTAGCTTTTCCAAATTTATGGTCAGCTACATATGCAATGCTTACTTCCAACATGTTTCTTCAGATTTCTTGTTGAAGTGGCAGCATATTAACAATTTACACAGGGATACTTCACTCCTTCATGCTTACTTTCTGCAGGTTTCTTCAGATTTCTTGTTGAAGTGGCAGCATATTAACAATTTACACAGAGATACTTCACTCCTTCATCCTTACTTTTAACATGTTTCTTCAGATTTCTTGTTGAAGTGGCAGCATATTCACAATTTACACAGGGATACCTCACTCCTTCATGCTTACTTTCAACATGTTTCTTCAGATTTCTTGTTGAAGTGGCAGCATATTAACAATTTACACAGGGATACTTCACTCCTTCATCCTTACTTTCTACAGGTTTCTTTAGATTTCTTGTTGAAGTGGCAGCACATTCACAATTTACACAGGGATACCTCACTCCTTCATCCTTACTTTCTACAGGTTTCTTCAGATTTCTTGTTGAAGTGGCAGCATATTAACAATTTACACAGGGATACTTCACTCCTTCATCCTTACTATAGTATATCATTATTAGTAAACAGTTGTAAGTGTACAGTACTATACAGCTTACTTAGCATTTAGGTAGAGAACTATCCTCCCCCCTGGTATCAAGGGCGTATACAGGGGGGGGGGGCATGGGGGGCAGTGCCCCCCCTAGACTTGTAAAGGGGGGGGCGTAGCCCCCCCCTAGAATTCTGCAAGCCTTTCACACTTTTCAAATCTTAACTGAAGAGTGAAGAACACAAAAAAAATAAGTTTGCTTTTCATGATTATTATAAAAAATCAAAATTTTAAAATATATATAATTACAGTGCAGTGCTCATGCTGTAACCAAGTTAACCTAACCAACCTAACCTAATTTTAACTTTTAAGTTCACAGAGTACACAGAGTTTAGTTGGGTTCAGAGAACACACAGTCTGCATACATTTGTACAGCTCACACACTTTACATTATATGCTAGTCTTGTTTAGTAGTGATGTGAGTCTGTTAAAAGTTGCCGTTGTGACTGGTATCTGTGAATTGCTGATTAATAATTATCATGAATCAAATACTGTTATTTATAAGCCTTGAGTTATCATTCATTCTTAGATTGCAGCAATTGTACTCCTACTTTTTTTCACAACAGAAACTTTTACAAGTCATAATTATTTTCTGGACCTTTGTACTTCTTTTCATCTCATAGAATTTAAGTTTAAGTTAAGTTTTTATTTTCAAAAATGTCGTTTACTATCTCTAGTTTAAATACTAAATATACCTATAAAAGTATAATAAAATGTCGATTTTTTAGAAACAATGCTTAGAAGGTAATTATTTGGACTGTATGTGTGCCTTTTAAGTATCTTATACTTATGCCTGATATCCAAGAAGCCAAGTGTTATGAATTTACAGTTCGAATTTTGCCCCCCCCCTAGGAGCTCCTAGGGGGGGGCAAAAAAAAATTTTGCGCTTCGCGCAAATCTTGCCCCCCCCCTATATTTATTTCTGTATACGCCCTTGCCTGGTATTACCCTTCTCTGTGGTCATATATATATATATATATATATATGTACAGGGTGTCTCAAAAAAAAGGGCGAATAAGGAATCAGATTTTCAAGATTGAGACCATTTCTGATATCTACGCACAATTTCCGATATTCCAATTTTAGGCTTGTAGATTTAAAAATGTCAATCTTAAAGGCTCCTAAAATGAATCGGAAATTGTACGTAGATTTTAAAATTAATAAAACATATGCACATAATATATAATAAAACGAGACATTCATATATATGTTCCCTATAGCCTGCTAAAGGGCTGGACCGAATGGTTTGAAATTTTTCGAGGTAACCCATGGGTGCCGAGGAGTAACATATAGGCTTAAAAAATTGATCTTTTTTTTAACCGCTGGGCACTTCAGCTTGTATAGTGTTGAATAAATATATAAAGGATTATTCTTATTTTTTTCTAATCTTGGCGATATTTAAAATATTTAAAATATTTAAAATATTTAAAATATTTAAAATATTTAAAATAACGAGATTTTGAGTATAATACTGTAGATAAGGATAAGGTTTGAATTTGTCAAATTTTACCCAAATTGTCTTAATTTACGTTATTTATGTAATTTATGAAAATTGAGACGTCTCATTACATCATTCTGTAACAGTGGTAGGTTTTTAACCTTAAAGGTGTATTTAAACACCCTGTTTATACAGTAAAGTTCGATTTCCCACATCAATTAAGTTTATCCTTTTAAAAATAGAAATTCATTTAGATCATAGGTTGTAGTTTTATTAAAATACAAAATAAATAACGTATACAATAAATATGTTCTTTGAATAAAAATTGAATAAATTTATGTCGTTAAAAAGTCCTTTAACTTGTTTACCAGCGTACAATGCTAGTTAGTTTAAAGGGAAAGTTTGAAATTATTTAACAAAAACTCTTCCTGCTCCGGGCATTACTTCAACTTGAACTGGGCCTATATAGAAAATAAAAAAGTCAGAATAAAGCAGAGTAAAAGTCGTCTTCGTTTATTATTTTTCCTAGAAATGTCTTAAGATACCTAAGATGGTTACCCACAAAGGATGAGACTTAAGACGACTGTACAGAATTTGCTAAGACTTTTCACACACAATTTTGGTTCCCAGAATTTAGAAATCTGCCTATTTCGGTGCCCAATCATTTAGCAGAGAATTTAGATACTATATTTAGCGTAAAATACAAAATTCAACATTCCATATAATTGTTATATTTTATAGATTTTTGATCTTTATTAAAGTCTCATTCTTTGCGGACCACCCTGTAACTCTGAATATGCTCGCAGTTCAGGAGTAATTTTACAGCCATCACATAATAAAATTATTAGCAACGTCTTTAAGAATCCTACTTTTATTCCACTCTATTCTAGTTATCGCTGTAAACAAAATTAACACATTTTATTAATTAATGTTTTAACCCCTTCTCTTTAACCCCTTCTCCTTTATAATTTTAGTTATTCTTCAATTTTGTAATGTGTACACATCCCCTTCCTGTGAATACGATAATTCCTTGTCGCTTCATGTTAAATATTTCAATGATTTGCGTATAATGCGTATAATAGCAGCAGTGGACCGGAAGTAAGAAAATTGGAAAATGCGTAGCTAAAGAAACCGTGAGAATTCGAACGCAACTTTTACTTTCCCTTGCTTTTAACAAGTTCATTGATAAACATGGAAAAATGTTTCTATATTCAGCAAAAATCAAAATTTAAAAGTTATAAATTCTACCTGAGGGGATTTTTTCCCCATCCAAAGACATAAAAGATTCGGGAAACTCACTAACAGGCTGAAAAGTAGATATGAATGGTTTAACATCTCTTAGGACACGGATCAACAAGTAAATATAGCCTACAGGGTGGCCCATTAAACAATAATTATTAGACCAGGTAATTCCAAAATGTGGGTTACCTATTATACACCGGAGATCAATAGGATTTCTAATACTTTCTTACAGGGGTCCATACTCCATCTAATTCCATTTCTGATCCCAAATGGGATCGGGGTTGAAAGTACACTTTATGTCATTGTGAACTTTGACAAGTTTGTGGGTACGTGTACTACACTTCAGAAATGTGTACTGCATTTGGGGTGTTAAAAGATGTAAATATTAGTATTTAATATAATAAGAGATAAAAAATAAACACTCCTTTGAAGTAAAAATTCTGCAGTATGGAATTTTTTCTATATCTTGACATTACGCTGCCAATTGTTTACAATAACAACATGGTTTATTTCTGCCCCTAATATCAATCAGTCAACATTTGGGAATGGTCAGATGGAATTATATGGACCCCTCTTTTTTTAAGAAACCAAAAAATATCTAACATCAAATTTCTTTATACACAACGCATGCTTTTTATTCAAATTCAAGTTACAATTGGTCATCTGTTAACGGTCGTGTTTAGTGAGACACCCTGTATAGTGTGTACTGTACAGGGTACAATGGTACATATTGTGATTAAATTGTGCACATAGTTAACATAGGGAAATAATACTATTAGAATATTTATTACTATACTTTTTGTACTGTACTGTACTGTACTGTACTGTACTGTACTGTACTGTACTGTACTGTACTGTACTTACCTGTATTTTGACTGATGAAACCGGAAATAAATCTACACCAGGCATATTCATGTGTGTTCCATGCTCAACTTCTTTCATTAACCTGGACAATATTTGTTATTCTGGGACAAACCGGGACACCATGGATATCCTGGGACACCATGGATATCCTGGGACACCATGGATATCCTACACCATGGATATCCTTGGACACCATGGATCTCCTGGGACACCATGGATATCCTGGGACACCATGGATATCCTGGGACACCATGGATATCCTGGGACACCATGGATCTTCTGCGACACCATGGACATACTGGGACACCATGGATATCCTGGGACACCATGGATATCCTGGGACACCATGGATATCCTGGGACACCATGGATCTTCTGCGACACCATGGACATACTGGGACACCATGGATATCCTAGGACACCATGGACCTACTGGGACACCATGGATCTCCTGGGACACCATGGACCTACTTGGACACCATGGACCTCATGGGACACCATGAACCTCCTGGGACACCATGGATCTCCTGGGACACCATGGATCTTCTGGGACACCATGGATCTCCTGGGACACCATGGACCTCTTTGGACACCGTGAACCTCCAGGGACACCATGGACCTCCTGGGACACCATGAACCTCCTGGAACACCATTAACCTCCTGGGACACCATGGACCTCCTGAGACACCATGGACCTCTTGGGACACCATGGACCTCGTGGGACACCATGTATCTTATACTGGAACACTCTGTATCTACTGGGAAACCATGGTACTACCTACCGGGACACCATGTATCTACTTGGACACAATCGACTTACTGGGACACCATTTGACCATATACCTGACTAGATCTGTTCTTGAGCATGATTCTCGGACTAGAAGTAACCACAGCACACCATCATCTTTAAAATCAAGAAATCAGATTTGAAAATAATTGATTCACATTAAAATCAAATACGTAAGTTAAAAATTCAGCCATCTCCCCCCCCCCTCTCTACCGCTCTAATTAATTTCTGTAAAATGTTCACTTAATAAATGTAAATCATAAATATTTGTAAATATATAAAAATCATCCAATCATTCTTCCTTGACTAGAGCTAGGGGCTAGGAAGGTTTGTCTGTCAACATAGGGTAGATTGAGTACATAGATACAGAGATAGTCGGAGGTCTCACTAACCCAGTCCTAAACATAGATACAGAGATAGCAGAGGTCTCACTAATCCAGTCCTAAACATAGATACAGAAATAATCAGAGGTCTCACTAATCCAGTCCTGAACCTAGATACAGAGATAGTCAGAGGTATCACTAATCCAGTCCTAAACATAGATACAGAGATAATCAGAGGTCTCACTAATCCAGTCCTGAACCTAGATACAGAGATAGTAAGAGGTCTCACTAACCCAGTCGATCCTATAGAAACATTGAGAACCTGGAGTGCCTTGAGTATCTGGAGTACTTGAAGTACTTATAGTACATGGAGTACTTGGAGTACTTGTAGTATCTTGACCACCTTGACTACCTTGAGTCCCTTGAGTACTATGAGCGTATAGAGTACTTGTAGTACCTAGAGTACATGTAGTACCTGGAGCACCTGAAGTACCTGGAGATCTTTGTGTACCTGAGAACCTCGAGAACCTAGAGTACCTGGAGTACCTAGATCCCCTAGAGTGCATGAAGTACCTAGAGTACCTGAAGTACTTGAAGTAACCTGAGTGCTTGAAGCCTTTAAAGTACCTAGAGTACCTGGAGTACCTGGAGTACTTGAAGTTTTTAGAGTACCTATAGCGCCTGTAGTTCCTTTAGTGCCTGTAGTCCATTGAGTACCTGTAGTACCTATAGTACCTAGAGTACTTGGAGTACCTGATACAAAGGAGTAGCTGTAAATGGATATATCTGTGGATCCATATTCTTAGAAGGTTTCCTTGGGAACACAGGACTAGGGGCTGCTGGGGGATCTCCTGCATTATACTGAACATATATTACGCAATATTACAGGACTAGGGGCTGCTGGGGGATCTCCTGCATTATACTTAACATATATTACGCAATATTACAGGACTAGGGGCTGCTGGGGGATCTCCTGCATTATACTTAACATATATTACGCAATATTACAGGACTAGGGGCTGCTGGGGGATCTCCTGCATTATACTTAACATATATTACGCAATATTACGGGACTAGGGGCTGCTGGGGGATCTCCTGCATTATACTTAACATATATTACGCAATATTACAGGACTAGGGGCTGCTGGGGGATCTCCTGCATTATACTTAACATAGATTACGCAATTTTATAATCTTATTTAAAAACCCGAATTTTAAGCGTTAAATTGCCAATTCTCTACAGTACCCTTCAGCGTATTAAAAATGAGGAAATATCATCGTTTTTGTTTTGAAGGGTACCCTCGTTCATCATGTACATTTTATCAGATGACCGATTAATTGATAGAATTGAAGTTGATTTGATGACCTCTCTTACAACGTTAGTTTAAATAGTTTGATATTTTTTGCTATTAATTAAGATATATCTCATAAAGTTCTTTAAAGAATAAATTGTAATCATTGCTCTGAGAAATAAGTTTAGTTCCTGTAGGTGTTGGTGAGGTAGGTCCTGGAGTAGTTGGACAAGTACCCGGGGTAGGTGGGCAAGTATACCCCGGGGTGGGAGGACAAGAACTTAAAGATTTAGCTTTGCTTTGAGATTTTCCTCGTTCTATTTTTTCATCTGTACAGGCAGACATGTTTTTTATGGTTTTAAAATGAATTTTTAACAATTTTGAAATTGAAAATAATTTGTTATAAAATTGTCTGAAAATGTTCCTAAATCCATGAAACTAACATTGCAAAGCCTCTGATCTAACTCCTCCCAGGACTAAACATAAAATCCACAGTGGTGGAAGGCAATTATATCCATACAATGAAGACGACTTTTAATACTTAAGTTTTGATTGTTAACAAGCATTTTTTGGATTACAAGTTTACACAAGTAATCAAAAAGGGTTTTTAATCGACGGCTCCTCTTAACTTCTATGCTTATGTGTAGTGATTTGATCCAAATTGAAATCTAAAGTCGTTTTTATCATTTAGTTATATATAATTGCTTACCACTGCAATGCAATTAGATTTTTTTTCAAATTAAACATTCTTGATTTGGCCTTGAATTTCCTTAGGTTTCATAAATTGAAAATGTAAAAGCAACTTTAAAATTTTGATAGGTTCCAGTTAATTTCCATTTATAATAAGTCCGATTTTTACTAAACCCGAGATTACTTTAATACGCATTCGATATCCTAGAAAGAAGAAAAAAATTCAACCAATCAGCGTATCATGTTAATATTTACTCTTTAACTTTTGAAAACCTGGTTTTTTTGGTGTTAATTGTGTCATATCAATTGAACTAAACATCGATTGAATAAATGTAAGTTTTGGATAAATGTTTGAAAAGACTAACATTTAAAATGGCATTTTAGGACTATCATCATTTTAAATGTTAGTCTTTTCAAACATACTTAATCCAAAACCTACATTTATTTAATCGATATTTAGTTCAATTAATATGACACAATTAACACCTGAAAAAAACGGTTTTTAAAAGTTAAAGAGTACATCTTAACATGATACGCTGATTGGTTGAATTTTATACTTCTTTCTTGGATATCGAATGCGTATTAAAATAATCTCGGGTTAAGCAAAACCAGGAGTTTAAGCATTAATCTTGATATCCATCATTCTAAAATTTTCAGATCTGTATTTTGAAAGTCAAGTTATTAAATAAAATAGTTCTCTAAATCTTGAAAAGACAAGATCTAGATCTTATTGTACTGTTTATTGATCCCATGTCTCCCATGATAAATTTAAAGATGATAACTGTACAAACCATGGCATATGTATGAGCAAGGTGAGGGGGCAGGGTTGAATATATTGCGTAAGGGGATTGATAAATAGATGGAGGATAGCTAGGTCGCCCAGGGTACACTGATCCAACAAATTGAATTTAAAAAATTATATCAACGAAACCTTTTTAAATAACAGACAGACTTTTAGGCCGTTAGAGCAAGTTGTTTACATAAGTACTGAAAACGATCAAACTGGACAGCACAGAAAAGTGGGATATTTTTGTTGTTTAAGTTGAGTGTACAGAGAGAATCCTGAAAAACGCCAAAAAAATTCTTACATTAAATTACTGTCCACTGTAATATCAGAAGCACACTTTTTGAGAAAAATAATCTCGACTTTCCGTATGCGTTCAGAAAATACATTGAAAATATTTCAAAAAGGGTAAAAATAATTTAAATACTATGTTCCTTGATGTTTTGGAGGGAAACTAAATTCTTGAGAACTATCCGTCCAATCGGAGTCCGTTTCCTCGTGGATTGGAACCTATACATTTCAAATATAAAGGGGTTGTCGTCGAATAGGGTTTCCACGAAATGGCTAAATCTTTTGCGCAAAATTTGCGCTATTTTCGCGCAAATTTTATTTTTGCGAACTTTTGCGCTATTTTTGCGCATGAAACGCAATGAGTTTTGCGCGGTTTTGCGCTATTTATTTTGCGCAATTTGCGCAAAACCGGAAATATTTTTTGCGAAAGTTGCGAATGAAACGAAATTTTAGTTTTGCGCAATTTTTTTGCGCAATTTGCGCAAAACCGCAAGTTTTACGCAAAATGTAACTTTTTAGGCACATTGTCAAAAATTGATATTCCAAGCTTAGAATTAAACAACTGAAGATTTATTCCATATACAAAAAAAAATATTAACATACGAGTATGATAACGGTTATACTACACTCAATTGGTTACTTCCAGTTACAAAAAGTTTAAATTAAGGGAGCAAAATTGATAAAATAGAAATTAGAGAGTGTGAAACTTGGCAATATTTTAATCCTATTAAATAATTTCAAGTGACCCGGCCTTAAAAGCTTTGCTTAATCATGGGTATGAATTGTATTCTTAAATTTTTTTAATCAAATTTCTGAAATTTTTTTAATCTCATATAAAATAATGCAAGAAAGTAACCAATGCTTGAAGAATCCACTTTTAGGAAATATGCATGTCCAAAACTAAAATTGTCGAGAAAATTGTGAGATTTGAACTCTTCTTAATTGTCATTGGTCAATTATGTAAAAGTGACCAATAGGAAGACATTCCAAAACAAGATTTTTCAAAAGTTTAATTTTGAAAAAAAATTAGTATTTATGCCTATTTCACCCCTAGTGTATCCATGAGTTTCATAAAAAAATCAGTCAATATAATATATATTTTATATAAGAGCAAAGAGTTTTTTATATATAGATGAATTTCTTTGTGTACATATATTTATATATATATTTCCAGCTTGATCAGACAAAGGTTTAAGGATACCATTGTTAATGCATTTAGGGTCACTTGAAATTACGCTTACAGTCCCTTTAATTTTAAAATGTTTTTGTTTTTTTACCTATATAGTTTTCCTTTCTTGTACATGAACTGGTACATAATTAAACATTACCTGAATGGTTTTCCTATCTTGCACATGAACTGGTACATAACTAAACATTACCTGGATGGTTTCCTATCTTGTACATGAACTGGTACATAACTAAACATTACCTGAATGGTTTTCCTATCTTGTACATAAACTGGTACATAACTAAACAATCAACAATTCATTCAGAGATCAGAACTTTTGTATCCTTAATCCATTCTAAATGCTCTAATCTTTTTCTAATATCTAACAGAATTATATTAATCATTTGAAGATGAAAAATATACATACAGGGTGTCCCAATAAACATGGAAATTGAGAGACGACTTGAATATCGTCTTTGATTTCCAATAATTGATAAATGACAGAATGTACATAAAAAAAGATTGAAAGTCTGATGACCTTTCCAAAACTGTCAAAAAATATTTCAATACTTACATTTTTCCGACGTACTTTAACATTTTTTAAAACCTTCCTAGTTTAAAATTTAAGTTACAATTTAAAATTTTTTTTAGAGGTAGGGTTTTTAAAGTTTGAGTTATAATTTTAAATTTTTTTAGAGGTAGGGTAAAGGCCAAAGCGTTATAAGCAAAATGTCCATCTAAGGAATAGATTGTTTCCTAATGGTTGCCCGGTACACTCTTCTTTTCGCCACTTTGACCATGTAATACAAATAAAATCTAAAATAAAAGAATTTAATTTTAAGATAATATTTACCATTACAGCGCCTCTTTATAACCATGAACCAAGTTTGTGATAGGCAAGGCTGTTATGACGTCAAAACTTCTGTAGATATATTAACCTCAAAAATAATGCATAAAAAGTCGTCTTACATTTAGTTAAATTTAGAAGATTTTACCTAATGGATCCCAAAGATCTTAGATGTTCAGAATCAATATCAACATCTGCTATTAGTCCCCAACCCAGAGATAGGAAAGCAATTCTAGAGAAAAATGAAATCAACCCAATTATAAATATTTATTATTGGATCATTTCTTTTAGTACCATGCATACAATTACAATGATATAGTGAGACCTAAAACCAATTGAATATTAAGACAACATTTAAGCATAAGCGTGCGTAGCTTGAAAATCAGTATGCACTGCCCAGTTGCAAGTTCATTAGACTATTTCAGGTCATAATTGGAGCCCAGAAGTCGCCATCTTATTCTACAGTTTAAGGGTGCGAGTCCAATATTAAAATATTTTAAAATAATGCATATTTTAGACCTCCCACCTTGTGTCTGTTGATGTCCTGACTAGCATAAGATCTAATGGCGCCAAATTACCACGTGCAAAGGAGACAGATTGAGAAAGTACGCCGCCATCTTCCTCAAGATTTTCTTCCTATACAACAAATTAAACAGAGAAATCAACTTGAAAATTGAAATTTATCAATTCTAAGCTACAGTGAAACCCTTAATAACGAATACATTGAAAGAACTCATCAAATGTCGTATTCTTCACTTTCTGAATTGGAATGTTGCAGATATTTAGTTAATAGTTTTTTAATTAAAAGATTATATGAAACTCTTTAAAACTGTTCCCGCATATTCATGGCTATTTATTTATTTTCGCAAATACTGAAATTTACGTAATATAGTATAAAACTCATTGAAAAATGTCAAGACGACATTTGATAAATTCTTCCGATGTATTCGATATTAAGGGTTTCACTGTATAAAATCTAGGAATCTTACGTTCATATTTGTAAAAAAATCGAATAATTAAACTTTGCACTTACCAAAAAAAAAGTCTATTTCTTATATCTTTAAAACCTGATTACTTGATATTTCAAACCTTGACCAATTGAGCTCTATCAGAGTTCATAGTTTGAAAAAAGCAGGTTTAAAAGATTTAAGGCCTAGAAATGTAGAGTTTGTGAGAAATAAACGGATAAACTGGACCTGGAAATGAATTAATGATCTACTGAGAGCATTCCCTGATCCGGCAGGAATTATTCCTACGGGAAACTCAAGACTACTTCTCCAGTCCGATCTAAAAATAAAATTCACTGATATTGGAATAAAATTCAAATATTTATATCAAAATTTAGTTTTTAGCAAAAAAAGTGCGAACACAAAAATCGGTCGAAATAATAACTATTTACAATTACTTTACAAGGAAGTTAAGGAAATTTTACTTTACCCCCAGGCCCCGTTTTGGTTGCTGGCTAAGTAACATTTATAATTTAGCGAAAAAGAAAAAGTACAAAATTTTATTGGCTTTTGAGATGAAAATGCGCGGTTTTTTTCTCTCTCAAAAACTTGACGTCAAGTAACTTAAACTCTCTATGATTGGTTGGTAATGTTGGTCAAAATACGGAAAAAGTATAACAAGTTTACGAAGCATAGCAAAGCAATGCTACAAAAATCTCTGAAATCTGTGTGTAAGTCCTACCTAATAAAAAGACCATTATAAACTTCATGGACTAGTCCATCCCCTGATACGATAAGGACTCCACTCCATTCATCCAGGTCCAGTTTAGCCATTACATCCCTTTAAACAAGATTAGGACATTATATCCCTTCAAAACAAGATTAGGACATAACATTCATTTAAACAAGGTTTAGCCGTCATGACATCTCTTTAAAATAGGACATGACATCTTTTTTAAAACTAGATTTAACCATCATAAAATCCCTCAAAGAATAAATCTTGAAGATCCCTTTAAAACAAGATTTAGTCTTACCATTCTTTTACTCTAACAAGATTTAGCCATAAAATCCCTTTTGAACAAAAAATTCAAATAATACAAGAAAAAAGTCAGTCCTGGGTATGGAAAAGCTTAGCAATACAATCCCTTTAAATGGTTAGCCATAATATTCATGCATGATGATATTAAGTCATAAAAAAGAAATGGATGAAATGATATGAATTTTCATTAACAAATTTACCTGGCGTGTCCAGGTCCCTGGGTTGGCAGCAGTTCCCATGGTGTTCCTGATTCTTGTATAACTCCTAGACAAATCAATAAAGGAATTGCCAACTTGAAATACACGTAATGTCATATTCTAGGAATTTAGGATTGAAATTAGCGCTCAAAAATGTTCAAAATGTAATTCTCTCTGTGTTTAAAGTATATGGTTGTATATGGTTGGTTGTATATGGTTGTTACCTCGACTGGTTATAAACTTTCAAATAAATGATTTTTGTCATCTTTACAGATCATAAATTTTCAATTATTTTGTTTTAGCATATTTTTATCTCGACAGGTCATAAACTTTCAAATATTTGGGTGTACACATTTTTTTATCTCGACAGGTGACAAACATTCAAATATTTGGTTGTAGATATTTTCTTAGCTCGACAGGTCATAAATTTTCAAATATTTGGTTGCAGCAAATTTTTTATCTCGACAGGTCATAAACTTTCAAATATTTCGTTGTTTTAGACATTTTTTTATCTCGACAGGTTATAAACTTTCAAATATTTGGTTGAAGACATATTCTTAGCTGGACAGGTCATAAACTTTCAAATATTTGGTTGTAGAAATTTTTTATCTCGACAGACATAACCTTTTTAAATATTTGGTTGTAGACATTTTCTTAGCTGGAGAGGTCATAAATTTTCAAATATTTGGTTGTATACATTGTTTTATATCGTCAGGTCAAAAGTTTTCAAAAATTTGGTTGTAGACATTTTTTATCTCGACAGGCCAAAAGTTTTCAAATATTTGGTTGTCGACATTTTTATTATCTCGACAAGTCATAAACTATTCCAGGGGATGCGTGGTCTGGTAACATTTGTTGATGCTCTATTAAATTCTGACCGGTCTGACCCTATAAGCGTACTTTACAGGGGTTAGTACCGCCCCATGATTTGAGCATGCTTAAAAAATTCGTTGAAAATACGATATTTAAGAAGAGATTTTTACCGATTTCGCCTTGTCCTAATCCTGTTCTTTCCCTAATAACGTATTAACAAGCCCGTCCCAAAGGCATAACTTTGGGGGACGATAGTTTGGCGGCTACATGTCTCATGACTAAATTCTCTGATTGATATGTAATTCGTACGCACACAATCGTATACGTTAGCTGATCGACCATTGTAAGTTAAAGAAAGAACGGACTCTGTGATTGGGAATCATGTCTATCTGGGTGACAATTGACACACACACGAGCAAACACACATCCTCACACGAACAAACTTAAAAACAACCTCCCACCCATAAAAATAAGAGAATTCTAGAAAAAAAGATTCTTACCTGAAACTGTATGCCAAACATCTTGAGATTTACCCTTCCCAGCTCGAGGATTTAGTAAAACTAAAACATCAATAATTCTCCAGGGATCATTAAAAATATTGAAGAGAGGTTGCTGAACTACTTCGCAAGCGCTTAAAGGCTCAAATTCAAAGTTCAGAATTTTGAACAAATGCTAAAGCAAAAACAGCTAATGTGGAATCTGGTTCCAGAATAGAGAATAGTTTTAGGGAACCATTTTTATAAATAATTCATGTTTCACAAAGACGTTTTTGTAATGCGCATTTTAATGCTTATACCATACGTTGACAATCCCTGAGTCCGAATTTAATGAATTTAAGCCCCCAAAACCGGTTTCAATTATGTGCCGGCTTAAATCTTGAAAAATTTATTACAATTTTAAGTGGAAACAACCAAATTTGAGCTGTGGCTTAAATTTAATTTCTGCCTCTGATTTTCAAAAAAAATTTTATTATTATTATTTATTTAACACATCCTTTTGAAATTCCGGAGAAAAAAAATACATTTTTCCTTAAATGCACAAATGATAAAAAAGTTATTCGTATCCAAAGCTAAGGACCAAAACTGGTTTTTGGCTTTTATTATAAAATTTCTCTATGTTTGCGGTAGAAAGCAAGATCTAAGATCTTAAATAAATATAATAAATATTTTTAAAAACATTTAAAACAGTCCCTTTAAGTATGAATAAAAAGAGGTTTGGGGAGCAATAGTCACCTAGAAGTGGTTTAGAATTCACCATTATATATTCTGGGTCCGAACCTAAACACGAAACATATATAGATAAAATTTCTTAAAACTAAATAAAATTTAACTTACGATAAATTTTAAACACTCTTTGTAAGCATATGGTTTTTTATTTTCTTTTTCTAATTATAATCTGTCAAAAAGAAAACAGCGACAAATAAATTCTTAATACCTATGGCTACCCTAGAGATTGCGTCCACCCATGTACTAGCAGTATGTAAAGCCTCCTCTCTTCTATAAATTAAACAAGCTTATTAATGTGCGAGGTATAATTGTTGATCCAATTCTTTTTTAAATTATTATCTTTTACTTTTGTTAAAACGCAGCAAATTATATCAAAAATCAAGACGACATTCAAGTCGTCCTGCATACTGTCATGTTTCGTGGGACACCCTGTATTTAAATTGGGTCTTAAACTATGTATTATCTATATAATAAAACAAGACATTCATATATGTATGTTGCGTATAGCCGCCAAACGGCTGAACCGAATGGGCTCAAATTTGTTGTGGACCTTACATGACCCCAGGGAAGGTTTATGAATGCTCAGAAGATCAAAAATAATTTTTCTTCAAACTTTAAAAAAAAAATTCCACGGGCAACGCCGGGCCCTTCAGCTACAATTATAAACATTAAATATAAATATAAAAATATAAAAACATGAACCAAACTTTTATAATAACTCAATAGTTTTATGAAAAAACGGAAATGTTCAACATTATTTTCTTTTTTTTTCTATTCTTTGATGAAGTTTCACTAGATAGAATTTAAGTTACAAAATGATACATTCGTTCACAATAGTGTTTTTGGATTCGTGTATTTACATTTTTTCTGAAAAAATTTGACCCCTTCAATGCTTCATCACGTCGAAACTGAAAAAATTTGATTTTCTCACACCACAATTGAAACTAGAGGAGCAACGAGGTCACAAAGTAGTATCAGTAATGTCTCATTTTTTGGCCTTCTGTCTAGTTCACGTGTCTTAATAGAAGAGAAAAGTACGCCCCAGACCCTCTTAGTAGCTTAAAATAATAAAAAAAATTGAACCAGAGATGAGAGAGTTACAGAGATCGATTATCAGCTAAAATATGCGATATTTTCCACAGCATGTTTTATTGTGTACAAGTACTGTACACGACCAATCATCAAACATCTGTATTCAGGGATATTTAAGGATCCTTTGGATTCGAAACACCAAATCTTTAAGAAAAGACTGTATTCATAAATGTCATGTTTCATGTTTAAAATTGGAGTATTTCTTTAAAAGTTGAAAAACTTAACCCCTGAATGGATATTATTTTCAACAAGTGGCCGTGAGATGGCACTCAAAAAACCAATCATAAAAACGTAGCATGTCGTGCCGGGTCAACTTAGGCCAACGTAGCCCACTCTGTGAAATGTGATAAGCAGTCTGTGTACTCTGTGAGTTAAACTTACTTCGCTCCGCACGGTTTGTACATAAAAACCGGTATTCTCTGCCGTGTACCAGATATCTCGGGGTAAACAACAAACATAAACACTGGTATCCTAAAATATATCAAATGGATTTATATCAAGCTTAAAAAAATGTTTATGGTTCTGTCTTTTCTGTTTATATTCATGGTAAAAAGTTATTTGATTGGTGCACCCTATTTAAACCCTAGTTTCGTAAGTATCTGTTTAAAAAGTAGTAATCTATGTTTGTCTGTTTGTCTGATTTGCCTCAAATTTGATTGGGGAACTCGGATAAAACAGAGGAATGGTCTTATCTTGGTTTAACAATTATAGAATTAGAAGTTAATACTTTTTCCAGGCAAAGCTGTGTAACACCCAATCAGATATTATTAAAATATAATTAGCCTAATTACATCGTACTGATAACTGATTGGGTGTTTGTACGTCCTATCATAACTCATAAATTTCTTGATCGAGCTGCCTCAAATTTGATTCAGCAGAACCATTTGAACACTATAATTTCAGTAGAAGTAAATATTTACATTTACTGAAAGCGCCGGTTGAAGGATTCATAACTCTAATTTGATAATGAGATAGATAGATAGATGTTACCGCCATACTATTTCTATTGGTTCAGAATAGACAACAAACACATGACTGAACCCTGATTGAATCAGGCGCTAATTGAACTCGGCATTCAGGAGTGGGAATGTTCTTAACTTGCTTTAAAAATTCAAAATTAATTAAGTTTCCAGCTAAACCTACAATTTCTTGTTTTACTTGGCAAAGTTACAGCAGTTTATCAGATTACATAAAAAACAATAAGGAAAATTAGCAATTTAATTAGAATTTCATACATTCATATGGAAAACAAAAATTAAAAATAATCAATTTTTAGGTTTAAAAAGTAATTAAGAAATTGAGTCATTGCCGCAAACTCTAATTCTATAATTTTATGTCTATGCAACCCAATGTCGTATACCTTATATATTCAAGACTATAAATTCTATTGGATAATTATTCTAAGTTTGAATTTGACAAAAGAAAAGTTCTTTTGGAAGGATACTTGAATTTACATTGGCAGGCCTAGTTATAACTTATATTTTGTGCATAATATTTGGTATAGTGTTTTTCCAGATTAGAAAATAATTAAGTCAAAACAAATCAAATCAAAATATGATCTCTCTAAATCATAATAACATAGAGAATAGAATAAATAGAGAGGAATTAAAAGAATCTCTCGGTATGAATTTTGTCAGTCCCTTTCAGTCTGAAAGGGAGTTCAAAGTGTACAAATCATGTAAATGTTCACAAATTATATGCAGTAGAGTACATTAATACAGTATGTTTCCTAGACTATCCATTTCAATTTCGAAATTTTTAAAGCTGTTAAATAAACTTTATAATGAATTAGGTGAATAAAAAAATCATTTGATTTATAGTTATAACAGAAAATCATCGTTTGTAAAGTGGAAGGCATAGAGTCTATGTGAAATGATCATTGGTCAATTATGAAACCAGCCTATTTCATAATTTGGTTTTCTTTTAACAATAATTTTAGATTTTCTATAAAATGATATTCCAGGGCCCAACAGGTTATATAGCATAAATATGTGAAGTACACCTGCAGTATGGAAACAGTACAACAAAATGGCCGATTTACACTTTTTTCTAGTAAATTCCTCTCTAATATATTCTATTCTCTTTGCATAATAAATCATCCAGAAATCTTCCATCAAATACGCAAACTTCATAAAATTTTGAATTAACTCAAAACAGAAACAAAAAAAACCAGTTATATTTAGATGGTCATTATGTATAATTTCAAGAATTCTTTTTGCGTAAAATTACGTCACGTAATAAAGCATGTGAATTAAAATGTTAGGGCTAGAACCCCATCTAGAGCTAGGGATACAGGGTGTCCCACAAAACATGACAATAGCAATTCAGTAGTTGCCAACCTACTTTAACATGTATTATTGTTGAAACAATAACAAAATTCTCAAAGTACTGGCATTATTATTTCAAAGATCTAAGACGACCTTCAAGGACTCTTCCTACTGTCATGTTTCGGGGGACACCCTGAATCAAAGCTTAACAAGACGTTATGAAAAGGTCACATTAGCCTGTCTTTTAAACTTGTTTTAAACATGTTTTACCTTAATAAATACTCACTTAGTCCTGCTTTTTTAAATATCTATAACGTTGCATCTCAAATTGTACAATTCTTTTAACTTATCCAGCATCATGAATATGATCATAATGTTTTCTCTTTTTTTTAAGATAAAATATGTCTTAATTTTACTTCTAACAAATAGGCGTGTAGAATAAATACCAAAACACAAAAAAAGCCTTATCCTACAAATATAGATAACAACAGAACGGATGTATTCACATGTAAAGTTTAATGAAACGGTTTAGTGTGTTAAATTAAAGAAATTACGGACAATTTTTATCAAGTGTTGATAACTTCTCTTTAGACATGGGTTATCTTAATTAGCACTTTTTTTAAAAATAGATAAATAACAATGTTCTCAAAATTTAAGTTTAACATCCTATAAATATAAAAATTTATTTAGCCTTATTTAAACAATTGTTCCATGTGAGCCGAGCCAGCAGCATGACGAATCATGGTGTTTAACTTTAACCACACACAGGACATGAACAAATTTTATTTCATTTTTTTTATTAATTAAATTTTGTTTTCCTTTATGTATTATCATATTTAATTCAAATGTTATTGGAATTGATCTATTTTTAAATCTGAGAAAATAAATTCACGAGGTTTTCATTCTTACATTCTGTGATCAACACAGTTAAAGGGTATATACATGTGGTTTTCATTCTTACACTATATGATCATCACAGTTAATGGGACTGTACACATGGTTTTCATTGTTACACTCTGTGATCAATACAGTTAAAGGGACTGTACATGTGGTTTTCATTCTTACACTATATGATCATCACAGTTAAAGGGACTGTTCATGTTGTTTTCAATCTTACACTATGTGATCATCACAGTTAAAGGGACTGTACATGTGGTTTTCATTCTTATACTATGTGATCATCACAGTTAAAGGGACTGTACATGTGGTTTTCATTCTTAAACTATGTAATCATCACATTTAAAGGGACTGTACACGTGGTTTTCATTCTTACACTATGTGATCAACACAGTTAAAGGGTCTGTACACGCGGTTTGAATTCTTACAATATAGATCAACACAATTCAAGGGACTGTACATGTGGTTTTCATTTTTACAATATGTGATAAAAAAGTTAAAGGGTCTGTAAACGTGGTTTTCATTTTGACAATATGTGATAACACAGTTAAAGGGTCTGTAAACGTGGTTTTCATTCTTACACTCTGTGATCAACACAGTTAAAGGGACCTTACATGTGGTTTTCATTTCTTACACTATGTGATCATCACGGTTAAAGGGTCTGTACACCTGGTTTTCATTCTTACACTATGTGATCACCACAGTGAAAGGGACTGTACACGTGGTTTTCATTCTTACACTATGTGATCAGCACAGTTAAAGGGACTGTACACTTGGTTTTCATTCTTACACTATATGATCATCACAGTTAAAGGGACTGTACATGTTGTTTTCAATCTTACACTATGTGATCAACACAGTTAAAGGGACTGTACATGTGGTTTTCATTCTTACACTAAATGATCAACACAGTTAAAGGGACTGTACACCTGGTTTTTATTCTGACACTATGTGATCATCACAGTTAAAGGGACCAAACATGTGGTTTTCATTCTTACAATCTGTGATCAGCACAGTTAAAGAGACTGTGCGCGTAATTTCAAGTGACCCCTCATTCAAAGATTCACAACGGTTCCCTTAAAAGCTTTGTCTGATCAAATATGAATTAAATATACTTGTTTTTGAAGAATCTTTGCCCATTTCTTTCTAGCAATAAGCATTCGAATAATTATCATAATTAAGCACTTTTAGAGTCAGATAAAATTGGGCATTGTACTCTTTGAAATCACGCTTGCAGCCATTTTATAAAAAATATTGAGAACTGGTCATTGCACTTTGAATTGCTTTAACAAACCACTTTTTTCTATATAGTCCTGAATATGAAGTTTTTTTTTCGGTTTTGGAGGAGCACTACTTTATAAATTTGCGACAAAATGTTAAAAACACAGTTCCAAGGCTTAAAATATATATTGTTCAAAATTATTTAGATAGCTAAAATTCAGGGCGTGGGTAGCCGCAGGTACTTTTCAAATTTAAATTTTTAATGGTTTGGTATCGATTTCATCGTCAAATAAAATACGTGTACTTTTACCTTCCTTTCCTTCTGTCTTCATATGCAGCCGGTCTAAAAATCGAAAAAAATTAGATAATTTTAGTTTACTGGATTTTTTTTGGATGGATTTAATTTTTTATTAAATTTCATTGCTAAACCTTTTCCATCCTTTTTGTTAATAATAACTTAGTTTATAATTTAGTTTAAAATAACTTTTTAATCCCTTTTAAAAAGTGCATGGACTTAAAAATCGTCATAATTTCTAGTCATCTTCTTTATAATAAAACAAGACATTCTTATATATGATTCCCATAACCGGCCAAACGGCTGTACCGAATGGGCTGACATTTTTTAAGGGAACCCATGAGTGCCCCGGGGGCTAATAATAAGTCGAATTTTTTTTCAAAAAACAATTTTTTTCAAAAATCGAATTTTTTTTTCTTCAAGACCCGGAATTTTTCTTTTAAATTTGATTTTTTAAAAATTCACTGGCAACTTAGTTTTTAAGTTTAGACTTTTCAAACATCTGGGTTGTTTTCCCTTTTATTCGTAAAATGTGTTACAAACCTTATAATAATGATGTCTTCATGTTTGAATGTAAAATGTATATTTCTTGAGCAGCATCCATTTTCTTCCCCTTCCAGTACTAGATCCTAGACACAGTACACAGTACAGTACACAGTACAGTACACAGCACAGTACACAGTACAGTACACAGTACAGTACACAGTACAGTACACAGTACAGTACAGTACACAGTACAGTCCTAATTTAGCAAATTTATTTTCAACTACTTCATCTAGGATTGCATGAATTCAATCAATATAACGTTTTACGTAAAATTAAAACCCTTCTTCATTCATAAAGTTTTTATTTTCATTCAAGTTTTATTTTTAATTTTGCTCCGCAAATCAACAGGGCGTCTCAAAATAAACAACGAAGAAGGGTTCACTTTCTACAGACTTGGTTGTAATCGGATTTGCAAGACTGGAGATCATTTCTGATTTCTACGTACAATATCCGATTCAATGAGTTTAATTTTAGGCTTGTAGATCTAAAAATAACAATATTATAGCCTTCTTAGGTGTTAAACTGGAGCGAGTGAAAAGTAAAAGATAATCAATTCGTTTGCACAGTTTTATATAAAAGTTTAAGTTTCAGATTATATTACAAACGCTTTTAGGCCTTTGATCTTACTTCAAAAATACCCTTTGGGAGACAACAGGGTCCAACTCCAGGGCACCAAATTCTCTCCTGATGTTAACCTCAAGTTCGTAAATTAAATGTGGCTTTGGAATCCTATAACCATGTTATCTTAATCTACAAGCCTAAAATTGGACGCATTGAGTCGGAAATTGTACGCATATATCAAAAGTAGTCTGTAGACCTTTACTCCCCGTTTTATTAGACACCTTGTAGATGATTTTTTATTCGGAATTTTTGCATTTTTGAACAGAGTTAGGCCGTCAGACAATAAATAGGCACTACATCCTCTTTGCGCTACAGTTTTAAAGATCCTTGCTTTTTTCTTACTATTTATGTACAGGAACATGAATATAAAAACCGTGCTGGTTTACATTAATGTTGAGTTGGGATTTAATAAACGCAAGCAGTAGTTTATCTCGATCTATCAATAGATCAATTAGGAAACTGGTTCAACTAAGTGAAGAAAATTAAATTTATTACTTGTCACTTTGTATTTATTTATGAATCGTACATACCTGGTAGGTGAGGGAAAGGGTTGCGTACCCTTGTTTACCATTTACAACACAATACAAAGGTTCTTCAAGCAGTACCTTAACATAAGAGAGAAAGTCATAATCAGAAAGACTCGGAATTAATTGCCTGTTAATCAGACGACTTAAAAATATCTCTGGCAACTTTAAATGCTTAAAAAGGCAGACCACATTTTGGAAATGGCATTGCTAGGGCTATTTTTTTATTATCCTTTCATCAAGCCTATTTGTAAACTAAAATTGTGAAATTGTCTGCTTAATTGTAAATTTTCGGGTCTTTCTGGCTAGGACTGAATATTATATACAAGGGGGGCTAAATTATACAAGGGGGAGATTTATTATACATAATACAAGGGGGGTTATATTTTACAAGGTGTATATTTTACACAAGGTAGATATATTATAAAAAGGGATGTAGTAAATGCCTTACTCCATAAAAGGTTCTCGAACACGTATCTATCCAGGTACAATTCTGTTTCACTTAGCTATCAATGCTAAACTCAGATACAATCTCATGAGCTATCGATATCAACCAGACACTAGCTTGTACTGTATCAACGCCAAACCAATGGGCGCGATCTTGTCGCTATGTTTTTCAACACATTCACTAGCTCGTATCAACAACAAAAGTATGGGCCCGATCTTGTCAGCTATTGGTCAACACTGACTCTAGATAGAAATCAACATACCAAACCAATAAGCACATTCTCGTGAGCCATCGATGATAACCGGACACCAGCTCGTATTCTATCAACACCAAACCAATAGGCGCGATCTCATCAGCTATCGATGTCTACAAGGACATGAGCTATAAATCGATCAATGCCAAACCAATGGGCACGATCTCAGCTTGTATGTTTCAGCGAGAACCAATTACTCTCTCGCACTAATCAAATTAGAGTTTCTGTATCAACTGAGTATATTTCTTATTGTTAGATTAAAGTTACGTCTTAACACCATAGTTACAAGTTATATGACGTAGTTAAGCAATCACAATGTAATGAATTCTGCAGTAGCTATATCGCTATCTTATCTACTTTACCGTTCTTATCATATTTTGTGTTATAGTACTATCCTTAGTTTTGTTACCTGGCCGGTCATACCGGTCTGTATAATCATGTTTATAAATAAATCAGTTGAATACAATCTGTAGTTCAGTATAGACGGAATCAGTCTGGGTAGGCTGATTATTAGAGTTAGAGGCGGTTTAGCCATACATCAGTTGGGATTGACTGATAGTTAGAGTTTGAGGCAGTTTAGCCATAAAGTTTAAGCTAGGAGAGACGGGCTAAATCGTTACACTCATTGGGTATGACGGAGTTATATGCGTGTCTAGATTAGGTTCATCTCAATACATGATTTACGTATTTACTAATGAGCACATTTAGCTATATGGACAATGTGCAACATAGTCAAAGAGAATAGAATATATATTAGAGGGGAATTTACTAGAAAAAATTGTAAAACGGCCATTTTGTTGTACTGTTTCCATACTGCAGATATACTTCACATATTTACGCTATATAACCTGTTGGGCCCTGAAATATCATTTTATAGAAAATCTAAAATTAATATTAAAAGAAAACCAAACTATGAAATAAGCTGGTTTTTAATTGACCAATGATCATTGCATTTCATTTTACAAATGATGATTTTTCGTTAAAACTATAAATCAAATTATGTTTTTTATTCCCCTAATTCATTGTAAAGTTTATTTAACACCTTTTAAAACTTCGGAATTGAAATTGAAATGGATAGTCTAGGGAACATACTATATTAATGTACTCTACTGCATATAATTTGTGAACATTTACATGATTTGTACACTTTGAACTCTCTTTCAGGCTGAATGGGACTGAAAAAAATCATATTTTACAAGGTGAGATATATTATAAAAGGGCCGGGAGATATATTATATAAGGGCCGAGAGATATATTAACAAAAATAAATATCTAAACACAAAGATGTCTACATAATCCACTTGTCTGTCTGTCTGTTGACAAACCATTATTAAGTTAATATCACCTGACAACCTGTCCTAAAGCTTCGTTTTTTCTTTGTTTTCGGCTTACCCATCGTTAAATTCACTTTTATTCTAAGATAAACTAAAAAAAATTTAATTTCACTTTCTGCCCGTTGCACTATAGAGAGATCGAAATTATTCACACGAATCCACCCCTCCCCCCCTCTCTTTATAATTCCCCTTCCAGAGCTTGAGGCACATTTTCTAATGTTTCTTGGTAATAAAACAATTGAAACCAAAACAGATTTTAGACTTTTTATACAAATTGATAATTGTAAGTTAACCACTCATATAAACTAAACCGCGGGAAAATCGAAAGTTTAAAACACATGCATTTTTATTTATCAGAAAGTGATCAAATGAAAGTATGTAGTTTGCGTTTTTAAATTATACAGTGTGTCCAAAAACATGAGAAATATTTGATAAGTTAAAGAAAGATATTTCGTTTTATTTAGATTTATAGAAAGCAATCATTGTCGAACCTAAATAAACCCAATTGATGGAATAATACCAAAATTGTAGTAAAAAATACATTGTGTTTCGTCATTTAAAAAAAATCCAAAATAAAAGTTAGATCAAACTTTGAGAACGAAAAAAGGTTTGCACTGTTTGTGATAAAGATTAATTTCTTTAAATTGCTGTCAAAAATTTATCTAAAAGCCCTCTCTAAAGTGTCATGTTTAATTTTTGTTGAACACATAACACACTGCACAAAATATTATAAATCAAATTAAAACACTTTTGATGTAACTGAGTAGAGTGGAATTGCTAAAATTTGTTATGGTACAACAATTCTTCTCTTAAATGGTGTGATATAAAATAAAAAATAATTTAAACTTGGAACATAGTTTTGTGAGCAACAAAATAGGAACAAATAGGAGAATTAAATATATGTAATTGAGTTGGATTGGAATTAAAAAGCTCTTTATTTTAAAATAAGTTTGTTTTATAAAAAAAGAAACTGAAAGTGTGATGTAAAAAAAATCTGTTTATCCCTAAATGTTAAAAAACCATAATATCAACCTTTTTGTTATTTATGTTAAAAAAATCAAGAAAGACAGACACTTCTTGAACGGGATGAAGACCCAAAAAATGCTTAACTCCCATTTTGATTGAAAAGAAATGTTTTAGACACGTATTTTTAATTATCTTCACAACTTAGAAATTATTGAAATATTCACAAAAGTTGTCAGAGCTGAAGGCGAGTTTATAGTTTAACACATATCTTAACTGGACTACTGCCAGCTGATAACTGAAACCCTGAAGCGTACAAATCTATTGTAAATTTTCGGGTCTTTCTGGCTAGGACTGAGAAACAGTGAGAAGTTTTCTTTTTAAAAAGCTTCTCTAAAATTGCTCGTAAACTTGTTAAGTAGTTGTTATAATTAGAAAAGAGCTTGTTAAAAATAAAAATTTGAATAAAAAGTCGTCTTCATTATATTTATATTATCGCCTACCACCGTACTTTAAAGGGGAAAAATGGGTAAACATTGTAATGAAAAAGTGGAATAGAAAAATATCTAGACGGAATTTTAATATTTTTATTTTCATGGGGGTGAGCCCATCTTAATACTATTGTTCCACTTATCTGTAAAGGGCTTAGCTCTTCTAGCCACCGCCCCCTCACAGCTCTTTTATAATAGTGTTTTATAGGTATAATTCTAGCCACCGTCCCCTCACAGCTCTTTTATAATAGTGTTTTACAGGTATAATTCTAACTTCAATTATTTTTTTTACTTAAACTTATCTGAATAGGCCATTATTTTTCTCCTTAAGATTGGATATTTGAAGACGACATTGAAATTTACCTTAAGTGCCATCAAAATATATTTAAAAACCATGCAAAGAGCTTTTTTTAAAAGGGTTTTTAGGGACTTGGTTCTTTTCAACTTGTATTTAACTTTTTTCCCCAATTATCGCTTTATACAATCCTGGGATGATAGGGCGCTTTGCGCCCATCTCATAACTCTTAACTGCACATTTTCTCTCAATAGAACATTGTAAAACAATAAGAAGTGATGTTTGTGGATTCTACATAAAGAAAAAATTCGTGGATTTTAAAAATTTAATGAAAATAAAATTTTTTGGAGGCTAATTTTTGAAATTTTAATCATCCATAAACCAATTCCCTGGGGTCACGCGAGGTCCTACACAAAATTTGGGCCTGATCGGTTCAGTCGTTTTTACCAAGAAATATATAGACAAGAAACCCCCATATATGATATTATTCATTGGTTTTGACGTTTATTGGATACAAACAGACAATTTGCTTGGCCCCCTTGGGCGTCCCCCCCTGGCCTTTAACTTATTATTTTATTTAAAATCTACATGTCTCCTTTGAAGCCCACAGTAGTCCACAGTTACCCGTGGGAAAAAAATCTTTTAGCCTTTACTACTTGAAGACCCATTAGTTCCTTCAAAAAAATTTAGCCCATTCGGTCCAGCCGTTTTGCCAGCTATAGCTAACATATTTAAGAACAAAAATATATGAGCGAAGAGCTTTATTATAAAGATGTATTACAGTTCTGTATTACTCTCATTATTCCTGCGTAGTCTTCTAAAGACTATCATTATTATAATACAGTTCCCTTCATGGCCTTCAAGGTCTTCAACTTTAGGTTTCAAAGATATAGAGATTAAAAATCAGAGTTTGTGATAAAGTTATTTTTTCACTTTTTATGAGAGTTTCCGGCGATCTTTTTCAAGAAATTTCGCATTTTTTCTCAAAACAATTAATTGCTCAAAAAAATATTGGAATTCTCTGCTCTGCATGAGAGCTCAGCATTAGAAGTTTTAAAATACAGGGTGTCTTCTTACCAAAGATGATAAGAAGAATATCATATGGCAGTTATATTATAGTAAAATTGACTTAGAAGTAATATATATTTGAGTAAAAGATGTTTTAACGAAATAAACTGCAAAAAGTCTTACTTAGATATATAATACAGTATCATGGGAGAAGAAATTCAAAACTATTCACCAACTGTCATGTTTCGTGGGACACTCTGTATCATAAATTAATAATTTCTCTTCCTTTACTTTAAGTTTTCTTGTCCATCATTACTTTTATATTTTTATATTGTGTGGTTATATTCTCTGTGTAACATACCCATAACTTTATGCATGTGGTGGGCGCAAGTTCTAAACCCATATTTTGATGTATTATAAATTATGTATACATGCACAATAAAATCAAAATATTTTTGGGTCACATAAACTTTTTGAAAACAAGTATTCGGAGAATGAGAAAATAGTATCCTTCAAATTTTCCAAAAGATATTTCGAAATTTTTATCTGAAGCACTCTTCAAAATTCAAAGTTTTGATAATTTTTTGTCTGCTTTACACTGGATAAATAGAAACCATCGAAATTCTTGTCATCGATTCTCTAAAAGGTACTCAGCAGTTGTTTACTTTCAAAAATACCTTGACAGGCAACCTCATTTTCTCATTCTTTTTTGGGGACTTGGTCACAAGAATTTTTAGAAAACCAATTCTGAGAATTTCCAAAGAATTAGAATATACTATTCCTTAAATTTTTCTGAAAAATTTTGCTAAAATTGTTTGTTGGGTTGGTTACAAATTTTATGTAAGCTTTGCTTCCAAATACCCAGTAAAATGCAGAAATAAAAGAGACTTTCATACAAGCCATAGATCAATAACAATACAGATAGAACACTAGATGTCGTCTTAAAGATTTAGGGTTTTTTCGTACACAATAACCCTGAGGCAGAAGCCCAAAGGAGTTACGCGCATGCTCTCTCTCTCTCTGTCTTGTAATTCAACGCGGCATGCGCCTAAATCTCTTAAGCTGTTGCCTCAGGGGTTAACTTGAAAAGACAACATCTAATGTTCTATCTGTATTGTTATTAATCTATGAAAAACACTCACTTTCATACAAGCATTCAGAATACAGTAAAAAAACAGGCCATATTATTAAACACATTAAAAGAAATAAATTTTCAAAGGAAGGTCTAACAGTGTTTGTTTCTAGGCGATCAGAGGAGGATGACTCGTTTTAATCACAATCTTTTTTGTTAAATAGATATGCCTTGTGTTTCAAGATAAGAATAGAGAAAATAAATGTATATGTTACATCTTTTTATTTCCATACATTGTAATAAGAAATATATATTTTTTGAAAGCATGATATATTATGAATAAGCAATCACAATTTACTTTGTAGTTTTGACCCGCCTAACCAGGGTAGGTTGTTCTGAGTGGTTGCCCTAAGTTAGTTAAGAATAATGAATATAATTGAATACCCACATTAATTATGTTTTTGGACAGGTAGGGAGTTGATTGGGAGGTAGGAGTTTGTCAGGTAATCTGTGGCAGGGTGAGATGAGGGGAGGATGGCCAACCACATCAATCTCTATACTTATCCCTAACGTCGTTATATTTTTTAAAAATGTATTTATTTTCTAGGATCGGACACTTAAAAAAAATAATATTGAAAGGACGAGGATTTCGAGTTGGTTCGGACGAGCAAATGAGGAGAATGTGGTTCGGACTAGAGATTGATGTGGTTGGCCTTCCTCCCCTCGTGAGATCAGAGGCATTACCGTAGAGACAAATTGAAATACAGGGTGTAGAGGACAGGAGCGGATATAGGATTTAAGCCAGGGGGTGCTAGATTTTTAGGTACCAAACAAATGTGGAAGTAGGAACAAGAATTAGGGAACAAATTTGTTTAAACTGAGACCGAATTTAAAGAATTTGAGCGGCGGCTTAAATTTATGCCACGGCTAAATATGGTTGGTTTCATTTAAAATTGTATTCAATGTTTCAAGATTTAAGCCGGCGCTCAATTGAAACCGGTTTTTGGCGGATTTAAGATGCGGCTCAAATTCATTAAATTCGGACACTGAAGTAATTATTGACTGAAGACTTTAAAAAACTAGATTTTGAACTAATCACATATTATAGTTTATTAAGATAGATATTTTGCCTGTTTTTCATTATGTTTCTGAGAAGCTATTGGCATCAAAACAAAAACAAAAACTGTAGGTATACGATTTAGAGATTTAAGTTAACCTATGCTAACCTATAACTAAATGTATTACTGAACATTTTTGAATCAGGAATAGTCAATACTAATTTT